TGTAATTCTACAAAGAGACACTAGAAGGAGGCACTGGATTATTCCTAGATCTTCCTAATATTCTTTGTATGATGAAATCCTCATTTATTTTCTGTACATGCTAAGAAGGTATTGGTAACAATTTAAACCACGCAAAAGATGAACCTTAAAACTATTTCCCTTCTGAAAGACTCATATCCATATATTTCTTGTCTCCAATTACTTGATAAAAAATAGTTACTTCACTCTCCCTCACAGAAATCTAATAAAAGAAGAGAAAATTAACCCATTTCAAATAAATGCTCACTACAAAATGTAAAGAAAATAGGCAAGGAGTTTCATCGGAGCAAATGAAATTGGAGTGTAATATGTTACGTCTTTGCTCAAGATATTATTGAATTATGTATGCAGCCATATCAATAAAACTCCAGTTTATGAAAAATTATGAAATCTAAATACAATTTTTCTGGGGCAAGCAAACATTTTGAGGACATTTGGAGCCACTCTCATGTAATGATACGGACTATGGATGTTTTCAAAACCTACCGGTATATGTTGATGGGGAAAAATACTTTTAAATGCTACATGTACACATTTAAATGCACACAGGTTATATTTTGATCTTCTTAGAAATGTAAACTTGATAACTTGAGGGTGAATCTGCGACAAAGATATAGTAGATGCATCACAATTGTGTGAATATATATGAGATTAGAATAAAGTTTATAGAAAGGAACTTTAGAACAAAACATCTTCCTTCAGATGTTCCACATTACATTTAATGCCAGAATCAAGAGCAAATCAAGAAATTCCTCAACATTCATTTTCGTCCTTCAAAATGCACTTGAAATCACAACTATATTTGTCTATACCTGCTGAGTGTGTAGTGTATGAGGCTCTGTTATTATAACTCACTTTCTATGCTGTCACACCAACATCCTCCCGTGAGAATGTAACACACATACTTTTGACAAGGCCCTGCATATGATGCTATCAAGTTAATTTCTCCCTAAAGATATTCTGTTTCCATGGCAACAATGATGATAATGGTTCAGGTGAGGGGAAAAAGGTGAGGGGAAAAAGGTAAGGGGAAAAAATAGCGTTACAAAAGAGAAACACGATGTTAGGTGAATAATGGATGAGAGAGCGGTCTTTCTGCATTATTCATGGGGACGGGAGAAGAGTGCGGTTTTTTAGGATTGATGCAGGTGACAGCCCTCGCCGTTTTTCCTCTTCCACGTTTACTCAAAATAACCCTTGGTAATCTTACCATCTCAAGCCTAGCTGCTTTCCAAAGATTGGGATCGGTTTGAATCCTACTCAAAGAATGCAAAGGCAGTAAGATAATGCAAAGAAGACAAAGTGAAACAAACCCTGAGAGACAATATAAAACACCACTCAAAGGATTATACTTATTTTGATTCCCATACATGCAAGAAGATATTAAATGTATTTTCTTGTGTGTTTTCAGAAGGGCACACCCCAAGCAGATGCATATCTCAACAAATATGTATTTTTATGTAATGACCTTTCACAGCTAGATCTACCAAACACATTCCAACCCATGCATTGTCTAAATTGGTACACTGATAGGTTATAACTACAAGATTATACTTCTTTGTCCTTTCATTATTAAACTTTTTTCTCAAAGTTTGACTACAATTTTTTTAAATGCTATTCTTCCTGGATTACATTTCAAAATATTATGTGAAATATAAAGATTTAGGCTGAATTCAATAATATATCTGAATATATCTGAAGATTAAGGTCTGATAAGATCTTTATATTTCCTGAAGAATCTTGTCTGTCTTTAATATGGTTTGTTGTCGCACAATAAACCATGAAAGCATTTTGTGTCCTTGAATGAGCCAGATAATAGTATTATGTATAAAGTAGACTCTCTTTGCTCATGAGTTAAATCAGACTTGGTAGGATATATTTGACATTACAATGTGTGATGATAGCAACTGACTAAATAACACTAGAGTTATTGAGGTTATAGTTATAGAGGTATTGAAAGCACATGACAATGCTATGTGTGCTACTCATAAACAGAATATTAGTATCAAAATGTTTATTGAGTTAATATATGAAACTATTTAGTTTGACATCTATTGGAAATAGATGTATACAAATTATTAAAACTAATCAAGGTTCGTATAATATCTAACAAATTTTCATTCACTAGTGCAAGCTATCTAAAGTAGATATCGAAACACAATCATCCCAGAACCACTAATACAATTTCACCAACTGCATCATATAAACGATGATTTCATTCATATTCATCAAATAATGGAAGAGACTTGAAAATGAAGGTATATCATGTTAAGGCCTTTTCCATATAACATAAAGACAATCACCAGATATTGTTTAATATCAAGATATTTTCTTGGGGCTGTTTAGTACATTGATTTAGTAGTTATTCAATGTACATTCTAACATTTTCTTTCATTCAAACTCTTTTTCTAACCACAGGCAACTGCAATTGATTTTTTTTCGGGGTTGTTTTTAAGGAATGGAAAAATATTGCTGAAAGGCACATGACCCTGTCTCCAGCATTTCATTGAATAATTTGTTTGTTTTTTACCTCTCATTCCCAGACAGAGACACAATTTGTTTGCGGGAGATGAATTTGTATGTGGAAATAATGAATAAAAGATCTCAACACGATCCCATTTTGTCTCTCCGGTTGCAAATTGGCACCGTCCCTGCCTTGGTTCAAGACATAAACAGCATATCAGAAACACAAGCTGCATATTTAGGAGAGAGTCCAGGGCTGGAGTATGATTGAATTAATCCCCATGTCCTGGTTCTGCATGAATTTTTAGTCACGCGTGTGAGTGCTGAATTAGCAATGATTCTCCCCAGTTTCTGTGCCCAATCTATGAATAATGCACGGTAAGACGACACTGGTCCGCAGCAGCAGAGTTTCCCAAAGAGAGCTCTCGTGAAAGACATTTGAATGGTTGGTGAAATACAGGGCTGATGTATTTATTGGGAAAGTTTGATCAGTAACAGTGTATTCCATTCATAGTTTTATTATGATCATATAAGGTAACAAAATTCTCTTTCAAAATGGTGTGCGATTTCTTTCTCTAATTCATCATTTGCAGGTGTATGACTTTTGAAATAGTAAAAAGCGTTCATAAGAATCCTGTATTTGGGAATTTCCCAAATATTCAGTGTTTAACAATTTGAACACTGCTTTTTAAGCTTTAATAAAACAAAATGAAAAGAATATATGTGACAATTTAAATGAATAACTAGAAAAAGAAATTACAGAGTGGATGGAAATGCACTATACTGGCTGCATAATATACATCCACACTCACTGTTTACAGACACAACACCACAGCTGAACTCCTCAGGAATGGATACAAATAGAAAAACAGCCAAGCTTCTACAGATTCAAGAGAAAAAACATGGCAACTACCTGACCCAACAAATGATAAGACTTCCATCGGCTAATATCCCCCATTATCCAATGATACGTAGGCTTGCTACATTTCACAATAAATCAGTCCAAGCTCACTCAATGACAGCACCAGCAGTGCTCCTCCCGTTCTCACTCTCCAAACTGATTTATTTGACCTAGTTTTCTTACGATCCTCCTCACTTTTAAAGCAAGCAGAAGCTGTTATCTCATTAGCTGACGGTTGATCATTGTGTCAAGCCTTACAGCTAGGTTCCTCTCTCTGTCACACATGATTTTACATCCATTAAAACAGCATCTTAATGCATGCGTATGCAATCTGACATCAAAATTTTATGAGGCTATTTGCGTCACTTCCTATAAACTGAAACTCCTGTGGATATCTTTATACTTAACTTTGTTCAACTTTCGTCTTACATGTATGCTCATTATATTTTGGCCTGATGTTTACATAAAGTTTTAATAAAAACTGGGAATGAAGAAAGTGTGTGCGTAGAGTAGCTTTTATCAAATCAAAACTGTTACTTAACATTCTTGTCCGTTAGATGTTCTGACCCTGTTTTCGTAGATTGTTTAATAAAAGAGTCTCCAGAGGGTATTCTCCTTCTTTGCTTTCAGAACTTTCTGACGTCAACCCTGTCTTAGTGAAATCAAACTCTTCATCACAAATTCCATTATTGACTTCAAAATCAATGTAAAACATTGGCAAGATAAAAACAAAGTCTTGGTCTAATATTTGCTATTTTGTCAAAAGCAATGAAACTGCATAACCTAGGAGCAATCAATAATAATCGTATTGAATTTTTCTAGATCGATGGCAATACTTTTCCTGGCATGAATACCTTATATTATTGTATCAGAGTACGTTACGGAGGTAAGGCAGGACCTCTTGCACCTGCGCTAGGTAATATTTTGTTTTACAGGAAAAATACTTGTTTTTCTCGCTTTTGGTTTAACTATCATGAAAGAGAAGACAAGTGATGTAAATGGCGCGAATGTCATGGAGGCAGTTTTCACTCTCATTTAATGATTTTGTGGCTAGAATGGAATTAAGACTGTATATGTGACACAAACATGTCAATGTGATTGTATGGAATTGTATCTGACTTGGTAGTATTGATGTAACATGTGTTTCATAAATCTGGTCTACAAGAGTCAAGGAGGGTTACTTATTTGATTTGGTAACCATTGGCAGAACATTATATCCCATTACAAAATTAATACTTTTTCTCTCAATTCATAGGAGACAATTATTAAAAAGTAAGATATATACTTTTGGACAATATATACAAAAATTCTGATGAGAGAAATGTTCCAATGCTGCTCCTTACAAATTCATAGCACTCTATTAGGGATAATTGGAAGTGTAAAATTTTAAAAGTAACCAATTTCTTGTGATATCAAGCTGCTTTTGTTATAGTGCATTAGAAATAAAGTTGATAGTTGCAAGGTATTTGACAACTTATCTGGTAGTAAAAAAAAAAAGAGCTGTCTAGGATTCTGCTAGTAGATATTTTACAATTTTTCTATGATTATTCAAGATATAGTCAAGGGGTTCTTCAAGAGGTAACAGTCTTTGTCTTACCTTCTGGAAGCACAATCAGTTGAGCCGTAGCTTGAATGTTGCCCCAACGGTTGCTGGCAAGGCACTGGTAAATACCGGAGTCCTGATCAGTCAAGTCTTGAATCGTCAGTCCCTGGTTATCAACACTCAAGAAATCACCATTAGCCACCAAGTCAATATCATCCCCATGACTCTTCCATTGGATGGAGGGTGTTGGTATACCATACACAGTACATGGGAGGGTCTTGGTAGAACCCAACCTGGCGTAGGTGTTTGTAGGCATCTCCAGAAATTCAGGTGGAACTGTTAAAGGAAAGCAATGAAGAAAAAAAATACAGAAACTGTTCAAAATTCTAGTAGGAGCTTAACATTCCAATTGCTCAGATATAAGGATTTTAGAATTTAAAAAGAAAGAAATTCCTCAGGGTATTATGAAACACAAATAATTACGTTTTACATTGCTATGCCATTCCATTCCATTCCTGTGCTTAGAAATTATTTTTTGCAATCACAAAACCGTTTTAGACTTAAATATCCTATACTAATATCAACTTTTGGACAAAACATCTCTTTGTTTGTATCGCTTGAACATATTTTTTTCTTTTTTCTTTTTGAAACATAAATATCCTGTATTCACATCAAGTTTTGGACAAAACATCTCTGTTTGTATCATTTGTATGTTTTCTTTTCATGGTATCAAATCATGAAAAGTGGTAGTTTCAAAACAAGTCTGAATGTCATGGTTTTAATCACTGTAACATACATGCAAAGTCAATTTAGTAAACATTGTATGTGTTGATGGATCTACTCCCAATTATTTTTAAATAAAACACTTTGCTTTCAGCCAATTTTCTGTCACTTTGAGTAAAAATTAAGTAAAGAATGATTTGAAATCTAATGCGTAGAAAGCCTAGTATTGGAGACAATGTGGTACCTGTCAAGTTTATTCTGTTTTTCAATTGCAATATAATGGAATAGGATACTGACCCATGAAGAAAAGAAAAAGAAGGCAGCAATACAAATGGAAATGTCATTACACAATCAAATCTGCTTTTAATCAATCATGGATCAACCCAAGTAAAAATGCACCTGCCATTTAGAATTATACTTGTATATTTGGCAATGGGAGTATGGTTCTTGACTTGTAAACAGAGTAAGTGTATCAACCTTTCAATTTCATTCCTTCACACATCATTGTAATACTGATTCGTTAAGGGATTACAGTTGTTTAAATTGCAAAAAATAAATAAAAAATTGATAGTACAAACAAATAGATATGTACCCATTTTAACACTCTAAAATATAAAAGGTACCAATTTTAGTGGCATAGAAAACCCAGTTCAGAACGTATAAGGGTTAATTTTGTTTATAGCTATCATTCAAATATTACGGTTCAATTCCTTAAAAAAATGTTATCAGCCTTAATAATGATGATAATGGTAATAACAATAATAATATTAAACATTACATACTCGGTAAACAGGTGGCAAGATAAATCAAACCACAAAATGACATCACCAAAAACTAACCCTTGAGCATTTTTGACCCAATTTGTCATGCGTTTCACTACAAAAAGCTACCAAACTTGCTCACTTCTGACTATTGCCTCTTAAAATAGTTTGCGACTGTTCATCCTGTCTAGCATTGTGTGACCATCCCCTTTAAACCATCTCCTGCAAATCATGTTATGCTGCATGCATTACTGGACAACATGCAAGCCCCCAAACGCCTCCTAATTTGATTTTGAATGCAATTCCAAACCGCCTCCAGTCTATTTGTCTTCCCCCTCAACCATGTTTTAACTGTATTTGTTAAAGATGCAAGACTAGCCAAAAGGGGGAGTCACCTTTGAAGTATTTCAGAGAAACAGCTAGCATTAAATATTAAATGCATGTAAAATGAATATGACTAGTTACACTAAGTGTTTAAATGTCAACAATGTATTGAATGTATATACAATTGGGAAGAGTTCAATATTTTGATTAAAAGCACCTAATGGAGTTAAAATTTCTCTAGTAACTAGATTTGAAATCTTAAGACGATTCTAGACAGGACAAATCGATATCGGAACATCTTTTTTATAGATACATATTAACCGCATTTACATCGTAGTTCCATATCTCAAACCACAAACCTTGGTAAATATTTGATTACAAAACCTCTGAAAAAAATTTGAAACCTATCTGGGGACAGTCATCTATATAAATTCTCTGCGCAAGTAAAATGCAACTAAATATCATTAGAACTTGCAGATAATTTCAGATTGTTCCATGAATTATTCTGCAATCCTCACAATATGATCAAAGATATTCAAAGTGTTTTTATTAATGACGAGTGGAAATTGCATTACTCTTTGCCTAATTGCCAAAGCAGCCCTCAGAATATACTCTGATAGTGAATATGTATATTGACAACTTCCACTTGGCATCAGAATACACCACAAATTGTTTCAGACCAAACAGCGTGGCAAAAACGTATCATTTTGCGGTGTAAGATTACATCTCATTTCCCCTGAATTATGCAGGAATACACTCAGCAAAGTTCTGCACAATTAAGCTTGCATATACCAAGTCACGCCAGCACATATCCTACTGCTATTTCCTCCACAACTGTCCAGTGACTTTTCAAGATTTTGTCTTGGATCCCATTCATATTAGCCTATTACAAAGATGTTATACTTATTTTCTAATTTTGAATGACAAACCTTGACCTTGACAAAAAATTCAATTTAACATTTAAACATATATCTGTGAGAACTGCTACTTAAGATATTCAATTTTTGTTGTGATTAATGTTCAAATGGACGATAAATAATGAAGGTAGTTATAAAAATGTAGAAAAACAAGAATAAGAACACATTAACAAAGAGCTTGCAAAAACATCAATAAAAAGGCTTTCTTTTATTAATTATTTACTAGCTTCGATGCTAATAATATTTTTAATCAATAGTTTGATGAAGAGCAATTACATATGAGTATGATCAACTATTGATTTAACAGATGAATATTCTGAATCAATCATCTTCTATTATGGTTTTAGGTAGCTTGGCGAAATGTAGTGGCACAAAAAGACACATTCAGAGCGAAGAAAAAAAAGAGCAAAATTATTGAAATTAAAATTATATCATACAGAGATAGAACCGCATTGTTAAGATATGAAGCTGGTAAATACTATCTTGATTAAGCTTAATGTTAACTAAACTTATATTCAGATATATCAAGGAAGAACTTCACATTAAAAAATATCGTTAAATCTTGGCCTATTGTATTCCGGACAAGTCTTTTCATACTACTATATTTCTCAAATCTATCTTATCATGATGTATGTTGCCAAATGAATGATAAATGAAAAAAGGAATATATGCTTTGTTAATGAACTCACCTTGTACGACAACAGTAACACCCCTCTCTACTCTGCTCTGATCAAGTATGGATATGGCAACCACCCGATAGATACCAGTGTCGATCTCTCCTAGGTCTGTTATCTGCAAGCTCCCTTGACCCAGTCGTCTGTAATGGTCACCTTGCCTGAAAGGGAGCCGAAAATGTATGTTGCATTGTTGATTACTCTCTAAGCAAGCTAGGGGATTATTTGGATGAATAGATGAATTTTTCAAGCATTCTAAATGGATTTTGGTAAAATTCAATTATCTGTACTGAAATATTACCTTCTGTAGGAAACATTTTTCCACTGTAATATTTAATATTATCACCAAAGTCTATGTTTTATTTTGAGCTAATCATAAAGATTTTTATTCTTATTTTACCACTAAAACCAACCGATGACAAATTATTATAGTTGTCTTCATCATTACTTCCTTGAAAATGTTCTTTCTCAATCATGAATACCAAATGTTGGATGAATTTCATCATTTCAATCTGATTTCATGGGTACCTCTATTACCTATATCCCACTCCTCCCAAAGGAGTCATTCTATGCAAACTAGAGCATTACAATAAGGATTAACCCATAAAAGACCTGGACAGATGCAAACTAATATTAAAACCCATTCAATGTGCATGTTATGTGATAATAAAACACTAAAGGAAAGCTTAAACAGAACATTCACACCGTAGCATCGTTACTAGGAAATAAGATGGCTATGCACCAGCAGGCCTGATTAATTTGGAATGAGTATATCACCTCTATCAATTACATATCCATAGAAAGCACGGTGCCAACTCAGAAGCATACAGTAATGACAGAACTGATTAAACTCAGTGAAGGGGACGAAGAAAATTTAGAGAAAAAAAAGAAATTTCAGACACGTGTGATTGATAGAAAGGAACAGAAAGTCATAAAACTGAGCTAAAGTAGAAGAAAGAGAAAGAAAAAGAGAGAGAGAGAGAGAAAGAGAGAGAGAGAGAGAGAGGTGGGGGAGGAGGGGAGGGGATGAGACAGGGAGGGGGAGATGGGGGAATATATAGGGTGCAGGTCAGAGCTGGAGAGAAAGGGGAAGAACACACACAGAAAGATAAATAGATTGAGAGTCAGAGAAAAAGAGAGGTAAAGAGCTTTTAATCTATGAATATATTTTACACCACCTTTATCCTCTTTTTTATTTGGTTATTCCCCCATTGTTTTCATATCAGGTTTATATACCTGGATATAATACCAGCCTCATCAAAATTCTTGACATTTACCTTCATATCTCATCACGTACAGTGACAACAGTGGCATCTATAAGCAAACAAGCTTCACACACATATACAGTGAGAACTAACACACCCTTTCTCCGTCTTCTCCCAAACTCCCATCATTTGTCTCCCCTTCCATCAACAGGAGACAAGAAAATCAATTCACCTTTGCCAAAATTTGAAAGGTGTATTTGAAGAGGAGCTTCAACTGAGAAATGGAAATGTTTGTCTTTTTCATTTGGGGCGGAGGGGTGGCACGCTATGCGCGAAAATGACGGACAAATGTTTGTGGAATGGACGTTGGCAAACATCAAAAACATTTGACGCTCATCTCTAATAGCAACTTGAGGATGGACGGCATCCTTTCTGGAGTACCCCTTCCCCCTTTCTCTTTCTCTGTATAAAGTTGGAATACAACAATTTGCCATGTACTCATTGGTTTGTAAATCTGTGTATTGGGGAAAAGGAATTTAGGTAGTTGAATACTAACATGTTGATCTTTTTCTCTCCTTTATACCACTCCAGTGTTGCTGGTTCTGTAGTAGCTGCTTCAAGAGTGATAGTACTACCTATCAGGGCCTCTATCTGGCTTGGTCCTGGAGCTACTAGGAAGGCCAAATCCTCTGGACGCTGGGCTGGGGCTGGGTCTAATGGAGCAAAAAAAGAGGAGTGTTGCAATCAAAATAGACGCCGAGTGTGGGCGAAAAATAAGACACAGAGCATAATGGAAAGATAAATATAGTACTGAATAATTGGGCTAAAAATGCTTCAAAAGTCATATCACTATCACATTGTACTCATTTATTTCTCTTTCTTTGTAGTTTGAAGGATGCGGTACAAGCGGTTGGAAAAACAGACGCTAACTTGAATGACATATTTGTGAGTTTTTTAAATGATTTAAAAATAAACACACATCCCACGCTTCCCAAAATATGAATGGTGCATATGATGCGAGGTAGAGTTTAAACTTATATTTTTTTTGTGCTACCTTATGGCTAAAATGAAAAATTCATGGTAACGAACATAGCAATACCAAAAATATTCAGGACAATTCAAAATATTTTAATTATCAAACTTTAGTTCACAAAAAGACGATCACCCTCTTAAAATTATTATTTTCTTTTATGAGAATCCTTCTTCATTAATCACAAGTGTAGCAAAATGTCTACGTAATTTTCATTATTACATGTAGCTTTCATTCCATTAAAATACCAAATGTCTTGTTCTCTTTTAAAAAAATTATCCTTGAGTTAAACTTGACCAAAAAGTCTATGATTGCAAAACAGCAGCTCAAGTCATACCGCTCCTGACGACCAGCTCTGCATCGGTGCTGCGCCTTCTCTGATCCGGTAATAGAAGGCTCTCTACTTTACACCTATAGCGGCCTGCATCACCCTCCCTCACGTCCCGAATCTCAAGTGCTCCGCTGGGAAGCAGAGTGTAGCGAGATGCATAACGTTCTTCAGTCAGGTCGATCGTCTGTCGATCCTTCAGCCACCTGAAAGGAGAAATCAAAGAGTCTAGGCTTGGCTGCTTGGCTCTAAAATCTATTCTCAATTATTCTCTTTGAATATATATACGTAAAAACACATTGATTTGTTCGTTTGTTGTTGATGTTTTTTGTGGCTATGATAAAGGCATAATGCAAGTGTCAAACCATACGGTCAAATTATAACTGAAGTTTGCGGTCATATTTTCTCTGGAGTACAAGATATAATTCCTCATATGAACAAGAAAGAAAGAGTGGAGCAGAGTCTCATATTTTTTAAAATAATAACCGCTCACAGGAGATATATGGAGGTTTAAAACACTGACGAATCTAAACTTTGCAGATGAGTAATTATTTGTTCTTATTAAGATGCTACATAGGAGGTTACACTCTTGTTTTTTTTAATTTGATTTATTAAGAAGAAAAAAATATTAAACTAGTAAAGCCTTAGGATGCTGACAAGAATTGAAAGGAAATGGACAAATCTTGAAATCATTACACCCAGCAAAGAAATGATACTGCAAACAAGTATATTAAGATAAATAAGACACCTTAAAAACATAAGATCACAAAATAAATGATTACTCATTATGATGAAATCTGCCTTTATGAAGGTGGAATTTCATACTTACGTTGTTGTTTTTGGTACAGTACCATTCACCTCACATTCAAATCTAGCTGTATCTCCGGGGTATACTGTCACGCCAAACGGGGAACGGATTTCTCCAAGAGCTAGGTAATACAAAAAAAAGAGAAGATATAGAATAATGCATTATTTCTTAATTGCATGTATATAAAGAGATTATTGAGGAAACTACCATTAAGTGTAATACAGTTTTGGCCCTTTGGAAATACTATTATTTCAGAGGCTCCACGAGGTCAAACTATAGCATATAGTTTTCAAACATTACATAATTGTTACATAAATCAAGAGGACCCTCTTAATCCAACCCAAAGCAAAATATTACTATCGATGTATATATATTTTCAATAAATGATACATTTTTAAAAAGAAAAAATACAACATAAGAATGTTGCATCCAATCAAGATGGATACATGGTTGAAAATAAATTCAGGTATCAATTGACAAAATCAATTACTATTTTGTCTGGGACTTTGATGAAAAACTCTGCCCTCATATTTTCAATAAAAAAGCAATATATTTCACCTCACAACTAATCTGTATCTCCACGCTTCTAAAAGCAGGAAGATTGCAATGTATGCACATACCACACAAACAGCAACGTGAGGTAGCTAACTTTGTAAGAGCTTGTTAAGTCAATACTTCGTATCTCCAGATAAAAATCAATAAATTTTCATTTGCCCTAGAAACTGGATACTATGCCTGGCATTCTGATTTCTATGCCAACGGGGATCCCCGTTATAGAGCTCCCACACGCATCAATATTTTCACTACACCCATGCATGGCGAGGAAAGGATTGGCAGAGAAACGTGAATCCTCCCTTTCTATGATTTCATTCTCTACCTTGGAAACAACAAACCTCAAATTAAACACATCTGAGCTGCAGATCTGAGTAACTCTTCTATCTTTCACACATCTCTCGATCCCAGGGACTGTTCTTCATGGAGAGGAAGAACCGGCAGAGATCGATAAATTGTCTTAATGTCAGCAGATTGCTTTACACAGATGGACAAGGTGTGAGTCAGTGTTCCTCTTTTAACTATTCAACCCCATTCTAAACACCTTTGATATCCAGTCAGAGACCTGTCTTATTCCCATCTAAGGATGTCCCAGCAGGCTTACATGGGGAATGAAATAGACTTTATGCTTATAATTCACTCTCATGATATCAACATTGTAAAATAGAGGTGAATAGGAACAAAAAAATGGAAATAAATCTGACAAAATTCTTTCACAGAAGGTGTCAAGTACATTATTTTGATTTATTTTAATGCTCAATTAAATAGCACTGAAGCTCAAGGTCCATCCAGTCAATTTTACCTGCTCATATAAAAAATGAAGTTGCATTATGTCTGGAAAAGGTAGACTAATCCCATTCCTCTTTACTTTTTGTCTTTCCAGTTTTACATGTAGTTTATCTATTCCTTCCTCAGTATCAATCCATTTAAATTCAAACCAGTGACATCACATCTATATAGCTGAATAGTTTTGATTTTCAAAACGATTGCAAAATTGTGTTAAACATTGCAGAATTGAGCAGAACTCTCTCGGTCTTTCATTTACATTTAAAAAAGATTCCATTTGAGGTGAATGCAGTACACAGATTTCTTGCACAGGCAAATAGAGAAGGTTTCATTCAGTTTAAATACACCACAGGGATAGAGTTACTTTGATAGATGAAATGAGAAAATTAGTATAATAATGATATATTACCCAACCATGCATTGATAGTTGTCTAAGCTTAGGGATTAAAAAAAAAAAATTCATAAAACATTCTAGGAATAGAACTATATAGCCTTCAGTAAGAAATAAGCAACTCTTTGACAAAGCCCACTGGGTCGGTAAGAATCCCTGCATACAACAATTTCTTTTATAGAAGACCTCATTAGAGACCATTACAATAGACCTCTGGTGAAAAGGGGAGGATCAGGAATAGGAAGCCTTTACAAACAGTGAAATAAGTTGTATACAAAATAAGAAGTATCAATGTATACACGCATCAATAGAGTTTTAACATAACACTTCTAAAAGGGGTACAGTCTATATGGGTAAAAGAATGTGATTCTATTAAGAAAAAGGACTTTGAATGTCTGTTCAAAATAATCTTACTACAAGACATCTTAAATTTTCACTTTTGGTCCTTTTTCCTTCTATCACTCATTTTGTTGGAAGATGGTGTTATTCTAAGGCATAATACACACCTAACTTTTTGCCAGCAGCAATAACAAATTGTGAGCATGCTCTGAGAATTGTGGTTTGTTGCTTTAAGAAATGTCAGCAATACACGGGATATTTACATTATTTAGACAGCAAAAAAACCTTTCTCTTTCCAACAAAATGAAAGCCATTGAAATATTCTCATAGTTTCACTTTACATGAGGGAATATCTATTTATTTCTATTAATCTAAAACATCCACATTGAAATCACTTTTTTATTCTAGGTTTCCATCACAGCCACATTTACTATACACATTTGGTATAGTAGAATATGGAGTTTTACAATATTTGTTAAATGATCCCTTTCTGTATATAAGCCTGTGAATACTTTAAAATCCCTCCAATTTCCCTTCGATTGTACATGTATCTCATTTTGTTAAATTGAAAAACACAATTTTCATTCGGATTATATTGAGCAGTGACATTTCTAACATATTTTGAGAAAAAAATACAACTACTTGTATAAAACATGATACATGTATTTGTTCTCAATTTGGATATACCTGTATAGTAGCATGTTTAATTCATTTCTTTTTTCAATTCAATTTTCTCAAGAACGACAAGCCTTTTTCCATAAAATTGACAAAATAGTTTTATTCATTTTGGAGTTTTATTCCATGTATTATTTTTTGTATCAAGATGAACCTGTCTCATGATAAACCGACTGTCAACTTGAACCGGGTTGCTCCAGTATTACACCTATGGGGAAAATGATAAGTCAGAGTCCTTATAAAATGCATATTTGTAAATTTGGTTGCACAGTACAGCTAGAGAAATGTAGTGGTACGAAAAAGATGCATCCAGAATGTAAAATGCATAATAGTGTAATAGATGTTTGTTAATAAAAAGTTCCTTTTTGACATATATCTGAGTGAAAGTTAAACTAACATTAAGCTGCATCAAGATGATATGTGCATTTAACAGCAGAATATGCTTATCACATGGTTCTACCTTCACTATCTTACAGAATATTTTCCCCTGCTGTTAAGTTTTGACTCAGGAGTGGGGTGAGCAAATATATAGCACAATTATGACCCAGTGCAGTATACAGTTGAAGCTAACTTTCACACAAACTCTGACCCACCGATATACCATCCTATTGTGTGCATGTCCTTGTATGGTCACCCAACCTTCAATGATAACTTGACTTTCTCACCCACAGAAATGCCAACTATATAGGAACACTTTGCTTTTGTACTGAATGCCATCTGTTTGGATATGACAATAGCAACATCACCTACAATCAAAACAGCCTGCCACTTAGTGACGCTATCATCAATATGATTGATGTTGCTTGGTTTTAAAGGTACAAAAGAACTCTGAGAATGGACCTATATGACATCAATTAAAGAAAATTCTTACATTCAGTGTGTACCGCAGCACAGAGAAAGTAAACATACAAGTACATATACCTATGTACCCTGACACTTCATGAAAACCTTACGGCTAATGTGCGAAAGGTCTCGTGATCTTCTGCTTTCGTGTCACAAAAGGTCTTGTAACGCAACCACCTGACTTGACGCGATGACCTGATGATTCGAAGGAAGCAGTATTAAAGCAGAGATGCCTACCTTCTTCAACAAAAAAAGTATTCTTAAGAGCAAAAAACAGTATTTTTGAAAAAATCTCTCAACTTAACATATCACCCAATCGAGCAGCTTAAAAAACCAGGCAGTACCACGTATACGTACCCGGATCGGAGCGCGACATGCATACATTACACGTGGGTTGTTCGCAATGTGTGCAGTTTGGGGCCCGTATCACCATCCTGCGTGCATAATACACTTACGACACAAAGCCCATGATCAGAAATTAAGAAAAACATCACTAAAAAAAAAAAAATTAAAAAAATTAAAAAAACGTAACAAAACATACAAAAAAACGTACTGCCGTATTTATAGCGAAAAACCGGAACAAATACGGCAAAAACAGAACAGTTGGCATCTCTGTTAAAGGTATTACAAAGTTTTGGGGAAATTTTGAAAAATGGGTGGATAGTGATTCTTGACAATTTTAATATATTTGGATGCCATTGTGGATGAATTAAAATCACCAGAAGTTGTAGCCCCTTAAACACTTCTGCTTTCGAGAAAAATTGAATATAAAGATTTACCGGTGCTCCTGGTAAATTATGATGAATTTCAAATAGCTCCTACGGCCGTACAATGGTGGCTGCGACCATGAAAATTTGAGAGTATGTAGTTGTGGTAACGTATATTATTTCCGAACGAGAATAGCTAATCGGTCGATTTTAGTCAATAAACATTGTTTTATTGCTTAATTAATATCTTGACCTTGAGAGGGAGCTATTCAACATAAAGTGTTCATTATTTACAATTTCATAACTTCAGAGTCGATTTCGACCGCGACAACGATCACTGAATATTGTAGGATCTTATATGCTTCCAATATGTTCATTTGAACCAAATTCATGACCCCATACCAAAACTTTGTATTACCTTTAAGGTATTTTAAGTTTTATTTTCTTGTTTCCATAAAACACTCTGTTCACACTGACTCATTACAGGAACCTGTATCAAAATATGACAGCTATGAATAGTAGGGACAGGCATGGAATAAAGAAGGTTGTATAACCTTGATAATATTCAGCATTATACAAACAAATTGTAATGAAAATTTGAAAAGGATAAATCATTGTGCAAGTCTTTTGTTCACTCTACTAACAGGCGCACCTCGTGGCTGCATGGGTCATAAAACACCAACAAAACTTACTACTGTCGACATGCATAAATCATGTTAACATTACCACATTACCAAGTTACAGTGTACATGCAACCACATATTACTACAATGATCAATATTACTCTGGAGGAAAACATTTCTAGCTTGCCTTTAGTTTAAAATGTTT